TTAAAAATCCACCAATCACCAAAATTTAACAATTCGCCAAAATGACCCGCTATACGGTATGTATCAAAAATACAATAAAAATGGGAAGTGATTTTTGGGAGTCAATTTAAAAAACCACATACCATAATCAGCTAATTAGCATAAGGACATTGATATGTATCAGAAAATGTAATAAAATAATATTAAGGTTGATTTTGAAGCCTTGCTTTTTTTTCAAAAATTGACTTGCTTGACAGTGCTTACCTTGGACAAAATATTTTTTGATGATAAGAGAGAGAGAGGAAGTTTACACAACTTATTTCTATCCTATTCTTTGTCCTTTCCTCCCCACCCTTACTCTCTCCTCCTCCTCTCATTCTCTAGTGGTTTAATGGACAGGATTGTATTATCATCAAAATCAGATGACATGTCATGCTATGTTGCTAGAGTTTCAAAAAAGAATGAGTTTTATTGATTTCGTTTTATTTTGAAATATTCTTTTTTATTGCTCTATTGTGAATCCATTTGTTACAAATCATTAGATTAACTCCACTGAAGAGTATCATTCAACTTGATCCTTGCCTGCGTCACATGAGTGGGTGTGTATGAGGGGCTGGTAGTTTTGTAAGTGATGGAGAAAAAACTGATACTGACTACTGACAGTAATAAGAAGAAGCTAAACCAGTCACTGTATGCTCTCTCTCCTCTTGCTCTGATCTTTTATGATCCTCTCTCTTTTTATCTTCCTCCTCTGTCTCCTCATTCCCCTCTATCTCTTTCCCCCTCTCTCTCTCTCCTCTCTCTCTCATTTCAGGTAAGGTTTGCTAAAGCTGGAGCTAAAGATAAACAAAAGGTCGAACCTGAGGAACTTTGGAAAGCTGTGAGCTACCACTCACTTAAAGTAAAGCTATTGATAATTATTGCTAGCATTTTTTGAAATAATTGTTATTCTTAATACTATTCAATGGTAATAATAATTACTAATGTTGCTGTTGAAAAAAATTTATTATTTTAATTATATTTTGATTAAATTAGGTGTTAATTTATGGTTTTGCATCAGTAGTTGAGGAGATGTGTCTCTTAATTCATTGGCCCTCCCACTCAATGCACTGGAGACTGGAACTGAGACATAGTGTCATTCTTCCTTAGGAATAGAGGTAAATGATTGTGCTTTATTTTGGCGGCGCTTTATCTTGGCGATTTTACTGTAAAATTGTAATTGGCGGTTTGTAATTTGGCGATTATTGTGTACACTTGCATTACTGAGCATGCTCATTAATGATTGGCAGTTTTAATATTGGCAATTCTGCTTCCAAACCGCCAATCGCCAAAATAAAACTCCACCAAATTAAAGCGCTATACTGTATTTATAGTAACATTAAAGTCCATTTGCATTCACCTGAGCCCAGGAAGTGATTAGAAACCCCACCCAATAATTAACACAATGCAATAATATTGTGAAAAATATGGCTGTACTTTTTGCATGGGTTATACAACCAACTTGGAGCTAAAGAGCTAAAGCTGCTTCTTAAGTAGTACAATAGATGCGGCAAAAGGAGAGGAATGCACTGGTATGTTTATTTTTACAATAGAACTTGTAAGTCAAAAGTTATTGCAAGAAAACAAGGGCTCAGGTGAACACAAATGGACTTTAGTACTAATATAGTAACAATGCTATCTATTGACACTATGCTCTTGTAATAAATGAATACACTGTCTATTGTAGTAATTGCCCTCGCCCACGCCGTAGGCGTATAGGTGAGGGTACTGCGATCGTCCTGTCAGTGTGTGTGTGTGTGTGTTCGCAAGATGGCG